CATCATCATCATCATCATCATCATCATCATCATCATCATCATCATCATCATCAGACGATCTGAATGTTTCAATGACATCTTACTTGAAGCAGCTGATGGGCATGTCAGGAGGGTGAAGCCGTCCAAGAAATCACACTCTTGGATGACCCACAAGTGTCGTGGACTGATCAAGAAAAGAAACCAGCTAAGGAAAAATATCTCCACACACAGGGAGGAATGGTCGCAAGCTTGCAAAGATGTTACAGAAGCTGTCCAAGAAGCAAAGACTGACCAGTGGAAGGAGGTAGTTTATGGCCTGATAAATGATCGGGAGGAAAGGAAAACTTGGAGTTTCATCAAATCTCCGATTGAAGCGCCTACTGTATAACGACGGGAACAGCGAAGATGAACAACAATCTTAGCCAGACTTAATCATGAAAGAGCTGGAGCGTGCCATAACACAAATAAAGAGAAGTGCTCCAGGACCTGATGATATACCACCATCTTTCCTAAAAGTGTTTGGCCCACTCGCACTGAAAGAATTGCTCAGAATTTGTAATCTCCAAATCAAAATCCTGGGACTATCAGATCACCGGGGAGTGATGGTAGAACGTCCTATAAAAATGAATAGCTCTTTATTCTATGATAAAATCTACTTAGAAACTATTTTTTTTTAAATGTCAGTGACTGGACTGTTGAAGAATATGAACGCCAGGGGCGAAGGCTGACTTGTTTGACAGGGTAATCAAAGTGAGACGGGATCAGATAGGGCCTGGGGGTATCACTAAGAATCTTACTCGAGGCGGCAACACAGAGTTGTGAATGAAAACAAATCATGAATTCATAATGTATGTTCAACGGCCAAAAACGTCGGGAAAGTGTCTCACTAAATATTTATTCCAACTAACACTAAATGTAACTTCAGAAGTGAATACACAAACACAAAGCAAAGAAGCAAAGATGTCAGTACTACATGTAATACCAGTGAGTCTAAACTTTTTGGTAGATCATTACAATTATCAATTTTTTATTTCACATTTGTCCAGCAGCCGGTATCATAATCGAGGTCACAATCTGGTATAGGACGGTAAAAAGTTGAGGAAAAAAAACCAAGCACTGACAGCAGTCAATGGATTATTAAGAGTGAGTTCCCCTTACATTTGTGAGGTAGACTCGACCAGTGTTATAGTTCGCTTACATAATCCGTGCTTGTGACTGCTTATGACTGTGGCCCGAAAGGGGTGAACAGGGTATAAATAATATGTGGCAATGAAACATTTTTGACATGTTCCCTTCAACTCTTTTGGTAGACTCTTTCAGACTCCCTTTAAGCTTAACTTAATCAAAGCTTGTGACTGCTTATAAAGTGGCCATTTTATAAGCAGTCACAAGCTTTGATTAAGTTAAGCTTAAAGGGAGTCTGAAAGAGTCTACCAAAAGAGTTGAAGGGAACATGTCAAAAATGTTTCATTGCCACATATTATTTATACCCTGTTCACCCCTTTCGGGCCACAGTCATAAGCAGTCACAAGCACGGATTATGTAAGCGAACTATAACACTGGTCGAGTCTACCTCACAAATGTAAGGGGAACTCACTCTTAATAATCCATTGACTGCTGTCAGTGCTTGGTTTTTTTTCCTCAACTTTTTACCGTCCTATACCAGATTGTGACCTCGATTATGATACCGGCTGCTGGACAAATGTGAAATAAAAAATTGATAATTGTAATGATCTACCAAAAAGTTTAGACTCACTGGTATTACATGTAGTACTGACATCTTTGCTTCTTTGCTTTGTGTTTGTGTATTCACTTCTGAAGTTACATTTAGTGTTAGTTGGAATAAATATTTAGTGAGACACTTTCCCGACGTTTTTGGCCGTTGAACATACATTATGAATTCATGATTTGTTTTCATTCACAACTCTGTGTTGCCGCCTCGAGTAAGATTCTTAGTGATACCCCCAGGCCCTATCTGATCCCGTCTCACTTTGATTACCCTGTCAAACAAGTCAGCCTTCGCCCCTGGCGTTCATATTCTTCAACAGTCCAGTCACTGACATTTAAAAAAAAATAGTTTCTAAGTAGATTTTATCATAGAATAAAGAGCTATTCATTTTTATAGGACGTTCTACCATCACTCCCCGGTGATCTGATAGTCCCAGGATTTTGATTTGGAGATTACAAATTCTGAGCAATTCTTTCAGTGCGAGTGGGCCAAACACTTTTAGGAAAGATGGTGGTATATCATCAGGTCCTGGAGCACTTCTCTTTATTTGTGTTATGGCACGCTCCAGCTCTTTCATGATTAAGTCTGGCTAAGATTGTTGTTCATCTTCGCTGTTCCCGTCGTTATACAGTAGGCGCTTCAATCGGAGATTTGATGAAACTCCAAGTTTTCCTTTCCTCCCGATCATTTATCAGGCCATAAACTACCTCCTTCCACTGGTCAGTCTTTGCTTCTTGGACAGCTTCTGTAACATCTTTGCAAGCTTGCGACCATTCCTCCCTGTGTGTGGAGATATTTTTCCTTAGCTGGTTTCTTTTCTTGATCAGTCCACGACACTTGTGGGTCATCCAAGAGTGTGATTTCTTGGACGGCTTCACCCTCCTGACATGCCCATCAGCTGCTTCAAGTAAGATGTCATTGAAACATTCAGATCGTCTGATGATGATGATGATGATGATGATGATGATGATGATGATGATGATGATGATGATGATGATGATGATGATGATGATGATGAAAAATAGTTGTAAGGTTTATTACTTATTTATTCTTTTTGAAGAGATGTGATCCCCGAGAGGTCAATCTGGTCTCGGAATGTTCATGCTCCTTAGTGATGGGCATGTTGAAAAAAAAAAGACGA